TTTTTCTACCAGCGATTCTTATCTGTTGCTCCAAAATTGAAAAAACACATGAAAATTTATTTTCGAGCCCTGACAAAGATTGAAATATCAAGATTGTCCCGATTTTACAAAACTGTTTTACTAAATCATAGTACATCGGTCCAAATCGAGCGATAACAACATAGATTGTTAAGGTCTACAGATTTTTTTGTAATTTTAAATTTATATTGTTTTTTCAAGTATTTAGGGTATTTTTCAACAAAGATCTATTAAGATATACAAATTTAGGCTGTGTTTGATTTTATATATAAATATATATATATATATTGAAGCTTTTTATACATGAAAGCGGAACATTGAAAGTTCAAATTTCCAGATAGTAAACAAATGTTTAAATTAGGTTTAATTTCTCTTAAGATCTGAGCAAATTCTTCGAAAAACTTTCGGCAGAGTACATGACAAATGCCCCAAGGGGTTTGTTGGCATATGTTGCTAAAGGAAAGTCACTTGAGGTTCATTGTTCAATTTTCGTCTAACAATATCACAAAATATTGCGTTATCTAAGATTGTCGAAAGTTTTTTCGCTCAGATTTCGTACGAAAATCATAAATAGTTAAGAGATCTACAATGATCATGCGAAATGGAACTCTCTTCTTCATCCGGTCATCTATATAACTAAACTCAAATTTGTAAACACGGTCCTCACAAGAAGAATTCATACAAAACAAAAATTCGTCCCAAGTCATTCTACACATGATTCAATCGAATCAAACTCCCTTTTTTAAATACAAGTGCAAAAAGGTAAATATAGTTTACTCAACATATAATAAACGATAGGCACGAAACCAACAAGGCCGACTCCCCCTTTCTTATATATATATATTCTTTTTTTTACATAAGTCAATTTTTCCAAATGAGAGTTGTTAGGACGATTATTACTTAGGTTTTAACGTCGGGGTTTGTTAATTTCACAAATTATATTTTTTTCCTTACGTAAAAAGGAAATTCGTACGCTCCCTTATTATAATTTATCAAATTTTACACATATAAATCAAAATTAATACAAACCGAAATATTACATAACAAATAAAATGAGATTTTTTTTTTATCTAAGATTGAATATATTGCCTGGAAAATTTCTTTATAAATCTTAGTATGTTTTTATGCATATAGATATAAAAAATACATAAAAAATCTTATATCACATATGTAAAAACTATCTAAAATAATCTATATTATTCTTGAAATGTGTGTGAAGTCGCCTAAAAATTAAATGTCTCATTGTCTTCTTTTTATATATATATTCTTTACATATTTAGGTTATTGTTGACCAATCTATCATTCTTTTTGGAGATCATAATAATAATACAAACGATGTTGTTAGGCTTCCTAACTGTTATACAATCATACTTTCGAACAAAAAATGTATATTTATATTATCAAAG